GATCATTACAGAAAACTACAACTGGTCAAAATGCAGAAAACAACTGATTGTGGGGTGCTCAGCCTCAAAGGATACATCTACAACACAGCTCCTATACCTAAAGCTTGGGAACATTGTATAAGAGGGGGCTAAGAGATTGTGAGAGGCAGAGGAACAGGAAATCTGCTGTGAGATCATATATGCTAGAAATTTCAGAGAAGTTATACCCATGGAGTCTCATCAACATGGCTACCTAAATACGACCTGAACAACCACACCACCAAAAGACACACCAATGCTGGAAAACTGTCCTGAGGCCCTACCCCTAGACAAAGAAATGCAGACAACTAAGAAAAGCTGAGAGTGGGAGAAATAGACTTTCCCCGGATGACTACCCTAACTGGTTATTCAATACCAAAGGGGTCAGACCTGAAATCATACACATATAAGTAACAGAAAATGGACTGAGCAGATTGTATTTGTGTATTCATGTGTTTGTGTGAGTGTACGTGTATGTATAACAATAGAAATTAAAGAAAAAAAGAGGTCATGCAGTTGAGCGGGTGGGTCTGTGAGGGACTGGAAAGAAGAAAAGAAAGGGGAGATTATATAATTATATTTTAGTTAAAAAAGAAAGAGTTCCAGGAGAATATACCAAAAATCGCTAAAGACAAAATTACACCAGAGTTAATAAAAGGCCATTTCCTAAGTTGTGCCTATGACATTACTGCATGTAGCCTCTTAAGAAAAGTTCACATTCCTAATGGAATTGAAGACACACCTGGGTATTCAAAAAAATTCAGCCTGAGGTTTGGCCAAGATTCTTTACCTATTCATGCAAAGAAAAAAAATTAGAAGATTTTCAAAGCAAATATATTTTAAAACAAAGTTGGGCTATAAGAAATAATGCTTTTCAGTTTTCCCCAGAAAATGTCATATGAATGGAAAATATAAGCCAATCACTTCTCTCATCTTTTTTTCATTTTCACTGGTGTCTCAGCTACTTTTCTATTGCTGTGACAAAGCACCATGACTAGGGCAACTTATAAAAAGAAAGCATTTAATTCAGGCTCAGGATTCCAGAGGTTTAGAGTCCATGTCCTCACAGTGGCAAGTATGAGAGCAAGCAGAAAGTCGTGGTGCCAGAGCAATAGATGAGAGCTTACATTTGATACACAAGCATGAGGCTAAGAGAGCTAACTGGAAATGGCATACGATTTTGAAACCTCAAAGCCCATCCCAGTGACACACCTCCTTCAACAAGGGCACACCTCTTAATCCTTCCCAAACTGTTCCACCAACTGTGGACCACACATTCAAATATATGAGCCTATGAGAATCACTGGCATTCAAGCCACCACAGTATGTATATGTCTATTATGTATACCAGGTACTGCATCTGGCCCATCGTTGGCACTCATTATCATCTCTATGATTCAACTTTGAGTGAAGGAAACTGAGACACAGAGAAATTGTCTATTTGATGGCAGTTAGGTAGGTTTCTAGAATATCTGAAACCAGATACTATCCAATTGCACTTTACTAATATTACAACTTCCTCATAGAAACTATAGTGAAAGCATACCCCCAGTAGGCTAATGAGTGAAGAGTTCATTCTCCATGTGAATAAGAAGCAAAAGGCAACCTGAGTTGTGATGATGAAGACAGAGAAGATGGGCTGTTTCAATGACCTTTGCTTTTATAGTCTTGTGCCCTAGAGCATGAAGTTTCATTTTTTAGAAGAAACTTAAAGTCCTTAGAGAAACTTTTATTTCTTTTCAGTTCATAAATAGTCTGTGACTAATGATCAGTCTCTACAGAGTAAGATCACTGGAAAAAATTCCAAACCTTAGGCAACCACAACCTATAAGAAAGTCTCACTGGCTCCAGAAAGAGCAGACATCTATACCCATACCATTGAATCCTGCAGCATCCCTCCTATGTGTCCATCAAGCACTTGAAATGTAACTACTTTTGATTAAAATGTATTATCAGGTTAAATGCACTTGGGGTTACAAAGAGTTAACAAGACAAAGGTAAAAATATCTCTTTGATGACTCTTTATTAAATAGGGGAAGGAAGTTATATTATATAGCAGACTAACTATAGATAACAATAATTTGTTATGTTTCAAAAAGTCAGAAGAATTTTTGGAAGTTTATATATTTTCATTCATTAAATTAATTCTTAGACATTTTGCACATGTAAACAATGCATAAGTATGGCATTTTGAAAGTTTTTATTGTAAAAAAATGATGAAGGCCTAGAGAGATGGATCAGTGGGTAAAATGCTTATAATGAGAGCATGAGGACTCACATTCAGGTTCCCAACACCCAGCTCTGTAAAGGTATATGACAGGCATATCCTGGAGGCTCACTGGGTAGTCAACTTTGTATGCTCATCAAGTCCCAGGCCAGTGAAAGACTCTGCCTCAAAAAACATGGTGGACTACTCCCATTGTAAGTATCTGGTTCTACTATGAGAAAACTTTCCTTGGGTAAGAGGCTCTTTTTTAGATTATAAATAGAGATCTTGGGTCTTGGCTTTTTCTAACTTGGATGTCTCCCTCCATAATCTCCAAGGTCATGACCTTGGAGATTATGGAGGGAGACATCCAAGTTAGACCTTTTTGCCAATTCCATTAGTTAAAATTTAATCATACTTTTCTTCCTGTGGGACCTCAAGGAAAAGGTCTATTTTGACAGATACAAAGAAGTCATTTACAAAATTGTTCACTCTTTCCACATATTAAGTACACTGGTTCTCCCAAGAAGACACACAGCTCTCTCCAGGTGTTAACACACAATGTCAGAATCCAGGATGCCCAGTGATATATGGCTCTTTCATTTTTCATGATTTGAACTGTAGGATCAGAAATTCAGCCCCCAAAGGACTTAAAAGTGTGTGTGTGTGTGTGTGTGTGTGTGTGTGTGTGTGTGTGTGTGTGTCTCACAGAGGAGAGATGAGGCATTGAATGAGAAGATATATGAAAGGAAATATGATTGAAAATGTTGAGAACATTTTTAATAAGAACCCCAGGGGGAAGAAAAACATAAGCCAAGGATAATGAGAAATGAAGACACAGCAGTAACATAGAAAAAGAGAAGACATAAAATCCACTTAAATAACATTCTAGTTGACTCAATGCATCTAAAATATCATCATTTACATGGACCATATTACATGTGTGAGTGATACAGAAGGGGGAGACAAATAGAGGTTGGTACAATGTGCTGTTTAATCAATGTGGAAAAACTGAGTGAAAAAGTTAGGAATGAAACAAGCTAGAGAACAAAAATAAATCTAAAGTGTATGCACATATATGTGTGAAATTGAATCATAAAAATAAGTTTCTCCTTTCCAAGTTTCCTATGTTAGAGGTCAATCCAGGAGAACTTGATGCTCTGTATGTAGCTCTCCTTCCCAAGGGCATAAGTGTAGCCCAAGTTAAACAACCTATATATAGAAAAGAGCAGTGCCCCCAGGAGATGATGAAGGCTTCATTCACGAGTAACCAGACCTCTGACCATTCCAGGAAGCCCTTAACCACAGTTCTTTAAGGCTGGATGACATAGCCATATATGGACCTCTACAGGAAAAGAAAGAGAATCTTTCTGGAGTCCTAGCAAATGCTTTGCTTAGGATCCAGTCCCTCTTCAAGCCAGCTCAGAGAATCAGAGGAAAAGGCCTCTGTGTGTGGATGGAGACTAAGTAGACCAGAGAAAAGGGGTGTCTTGTTTGGTTTCCTTTTCTGTGAAAAAGAACCAGTGTTCTGGGGTGACCAATTCCTATGTCTCAGAGGGCACATTTTTCTGATGTGAACTCCACTATCACCCTGTCTGCACTTGGTGACTCACAGTAGAACTGGCATTCCCAAAGCATTTGCTTTATCACTGTTGAGAGACCAGAGCAGTGGTCATGTCAGTCTGGCTCAGTCCTGGAGTTTACCCTGTGCTGGCTGTTCTCAAGGCAAGCTGCCATCTCAACATTTCTGTGCTGATGGAGAAAACTGACCAGAAAAGAAGTCACTTGAATTTGAATAAAAGGAGTCTGAGGTGATATGTTGTGTACCCTAATAAAATTGCCTGAAGATCAGAGAACAGAACAAGCCACTAGATTAAACATAGATGCCAAGCAGTGGTGGCACACACCTTTAATCCTAGCACTCGGGAGGCAGAAATCCATTTGGATCTCTGTGAGTTCAAAGCCACCCTGGACTACATGAGATTGACTCGGTGTAGGAGAGAAACAGAGCCAGGCAGTGGTGACACACATCTTTAATCCCAGCACTTGAGATCTCATGCCATTGCTTGGGAAGCACACACACCTGTAATCCCAGTACTAAGAAGGAAGTGATGTGGCTGAGAGGAGAAAGGGATGTAAGGTGTGAGAAGAGAGGAACTAAAGGCTTTTTGACTGAAGCCTTTGGGCTGCGGATTCAGAGGCATTCAAACGGGATTTGTGGAGTTGGCGAGGTGAAATGTAGCAGTGGCTTGTTCCTTTGTCTCTCTGATCTTTCAGCATTTACCCCAATATCTGGCTCTGGGTTTTTGTTTTTTGTTTTTTTATTATAAGACCTTTAGAAATTCAAGCAACAGGAGTCACTTGAATTTGAATAGCAAATGCTTTGATTGGGATATGTCTCCACAAACCTCACAGTTTGGGAGACTATGGAAGTCCACTGGTACAGAAACAACTGCTATGATCAGGGTATTGTGAGAGTATAATTACTATTATTATTATTTATAATTATTGTTACCACCCGGGTTTGGGTTCAGAATGAGGAAAAGGGTAAGAGAATTTTGTTCTGGATATTAAATTGAATATGTTTGTGGAACATTCTGTATTAGAATCAGAAGAGCAGCAACTGTTTGAAGATCTTCAGGCTATCATCTCCCTCCTCTATCAATCCACCTAGGAATTCTATCCATATCAACACTTTTTCATTCCCACATATGAATGTTAGGAATGTACACGAATTGTACATATACGGGGGTCTAATTGGAATTAGTTTCCACAGCTGTGGAGGCACAAACCCACAAAACAGGCGGCTGGAAAGGAAGATCATGTGGCCGAAGCCCCGGGGTTCCTGGTGAGGTGCGAAGCCCTCAGAGGCCGAGAAGTTTCATAGACAAGAGAAAGCTCACCTGTCTGCTTGACATCTCTGATTCTCTACAAATGGCTTCCTGTCGACAAAGGAAAACACACCAAGGTACTCTCTGTCCAAATAAAGTCAGCCAACTAATTTGGGCCTTCAAATATGTCTGAAAATCCCTTTTGTTGAATAATGTAGCCTATTGTTGATTGAGCAACTGGGAGAAGGCCTGTGTGCGTGTATGATTCTGCCCTTCCTCAGTTCCCCCAGAGAGTGACAAGCCTGCACTCATCAGCAAGCTGCTTGAATAGGAAAGTCGGAGGAATGTGGTCCAGCCTAGCCAAGTCCCAAGTCCACTCATCACAGTGATCGCACATTCCTAGGGGATTACTGGCATGTTCTGAGGAAACTGGGTGAAGGATGAAAGCAGGTGATAAGCATTTGAGTTATACATAGGGAAGTGAGAGGGTGATTATGAAAAAGGAATTTCTCATGAGGAAAGGAGAGAGAAAGAAGGAAGAGTGAACACTGGTGCAGGTCCACAATTAGGGTCTTGGGGAAGAACCTGAGAGGTAAAAGAGAATCGTGAGTGAAGAGCATGATCGGATGTAAACATGGAAGATTAGATTCAGAGAGAGCAAGGACATGCCGTGCCCCACTTAAAATATTGAATCCTTTACCTGCAAAACACAAATCAGAACGGTACGCAGTGACCTTTCACCTAGTTTCCCCTGCTTATTCAGCCCCTCTTCTGTGCTCATGGCCGTCTGCTCTAACTGTTGCTGGCTTTTCTCCCCAGCATTGACTAATTAACTGTTCCTCATCTTCAGTTTTACACCATGTGTTCATCCCTTTGTTTTCAAACTCAGAGGCTCAAGGCATGGAATGCTTAGCGAGGTATGAGAGAACGGGTCACTATTCATTCATTTATTTGTTTCAAAAAATGTAAGTCATTTTTTCTTCTTCTGGGATACACATGGAGAGATATGTGTGGGAAAGTCTGGCTTCACATTGTCACGTGGTTGTGACTTAACAGTCAAGAGAAGACTACTGTTCAAGTTCTTAAAAATGGTCTTTGAATCTAAAATGTGGGCTAAGTGGGGACCACATTAGGGTGAAGGCGTTGAGGTGACCTGAAAGCGCAGAGACTGTGTCTAGAATTTGAAACAGACAACGTAGGACGCGAATATCCAGCTCTAGAAATTCTCATTCAAGAGCGCCTCTTAACCTTTGTGACCAAAATTCACGGAGAAAGAAAAACTCTGATGTCAGTGGCCAGTTTCTCAAAGGCACCACTTAAATTCTGTACTCAGGCATCATTTCTATGCTGATGACAGTCCAACGTCACTCGTTCTTTCCTATGGTCCTTTCTTGTGTGTAGTCAATTTTCCTAACTATTGCTCATTATCTATAATGCTTTGTGGGTTGCCTTCACCAGTGAATTACTAAGACCCTGGTGCCATGCCCATCTGCTGTGCTTGTTCAAACACTTTCAACACGAGCAGAGGAGAGGCCAGAGATGCTCAGTAGAAGGTCCCTTCCCTTTCACTGTTCATTTGTCATGGTACAGAGCTCATTCCTTTACTTACCTGCTGATGAGTCGACTGACAGACATTTCTTACCATTTAAACCTCCTGCTGCATTTATCCCCTAGGAGAAGTGTTCTTCCTCCAGGAAATCAGGACTCTAACACTGATCGAATCTCAGGGTTGATATCCAATTCTATTCTCAGTAAGTTTCAAGACTATAAAGATAATTTATTCAAGACTACTTTTAAATTGAAGGCTAATTCATAACAGGAGATATAATTTTCAACAAAAGAAACCTGGAACTCCTAGACAGGAATCCACCATTCACCAAGATGAATCTAGGTTTTAGGGTGGGGATTCTAATTTTGTCACCCATTGTCAGTGTGAAAGGAGATGAATTATCAAACCTAGGCATCATTCACTTCTTCTACAGAGTCAGAACTGTCTACTTGGTGGTATCTGAGGTCTGAGGTAGAGCTGCCTGAAAGAACTTATATTGGATGACATTCGCTACAAGAATTCCACCATCTCAATGTGACCAGGAGTTCTCAGCAGGAAGAGGCTGTCCTTGTCCCTATGCCTCATCTCTGCTCCCCTTTCTTCCTCCCTCACACATAATCTTGAGTGCCCTCTGGGAAAGATAACCTAGGAAACCACAAAACAAATACAGAAGTGTTTACATTTTCTCAGCAACAAAAATAGCCAGAGTGACTGGTCTTTCTCAAGACTCCTTGATGCATGACTAAGAGACTTTTGAAATGTCTTTTAAGTTTTCCTACTAGGGATATTGGTATTTCCCCACCACCTCACTCCCATCATCTGAAGAGTTGTGCCATTTCTCAGAGGGTTGTTCAGATCTTCCTATGCAGCTATTTTGGGAAATGAACTAACCTCTTTAGCATGATGAGATGTGATACGCATGAATTTTAACACTGGGTCTCATGTAGAGTGATGTGTAGATATGCCAAATATGTAAGCAGAGGCCATATGTTGGAGGTGAAATTGGAAGTGAGAATGAGAAAATGAGATGGGGGAGGGGAATATAGAGATGGAGAAGAGTTTCCTGTGTTGATAGAGTAGGAAGTATAAACAGGGATCAAGTGACACCACTAATAACTTAGGCTTGATTCAATAGAGAACTTTTCTTTTCAGTATCTCTATGAACTCTACATTCACTTGACATCTTCTAGGCATTTATTCCCTCATTTAGGAAATAGGAATGACTTTGGTCATGGCTTCATGGAGCTATTGAGATAAACGAGAGGGATGACAAATGTTAAGTGCATTGGACAATGAATGCTACTAATTTTTAATAGAACCCCATTTATTTCCCCTCCAAAACCATGCCTACATGGAACTAGACTCTTGCAGATCAAAGAAATAGTTCATTTTAGGTTCTTCACTGTTTATACAATGGATGGATAGTGTTTATTATATTCAACATGCATTTTATTCATTATTTTACCTGCTTGCCGATGAAAGTTTAAAAATTATGATTGCTCAAGTAGGCTCAGGATGTGACATGCTTGTACCATTGAAATGAACACCATCATGGTTAATCTTGGTTGTCAAGTTAGCTGGATCTATGATAAAATAAGAGGCAAGCCTCTGGGCACACTTATGGGGGATTTTCTAGATTAGGTTAATTGGAGTGAAAGGCCCACCATAAATGTGCACTTTCTGAGTGGTGGCTGAGTGATAGGGAGGGCTGTTGGAAAATTCTTTTGCTCTTTGGCTGCTTGCCTTTGCATCTTGTTGGCAAGTTCATCTCCTCTGTTCATGAGTTTATCTACCTTGTTGAGAACTCAGACTAATACTGGCATTCTACCAGTGAAACTAAGACAGCCCAAGGGAGGTCTTCTCCTGCTACACTGGGAGTTCAAATGTCAAGTAAAGAGGTGAAGAGCATCTTTAGAACCAGACTTTGCCTACCAAAGCCTAGCAACGCAACCGTGGGGATTATGAAAGCAGCAATGGAGGTTGTAAAGCCAACAGCTCTTTGCCGGGATCAGCATTGTAGTCAGTTGAGGTTGTCTCAGGGTAAAGTAGCCCCTGCTCCCCAGCTCTTCCAAAGAGTCTTTATGTATTTGTTTTCCTACATCAATTTTCTTCTGATTGATATGCAGAAATTAATACATTTCTGGTAATTTGTCTGAGGACCGAGTGGTACAACACCAGCCTGATGGCCTATGCCTCATTTCTTACACTGTGATTTGCCTCATGGCTATGGTTGCTGAATACATTGGCAAAAATGGCTTGTGTTTGAACTTTTGACTGCCATGTGTAGCTCTATGACGAATATTACTGTTAAAAATAAAACAAAGCAAGTGCCCCAAACAAACACAATCAATAAACCCCTACATCGAATCCCTTCCTTCACAAATTTCTTTGCCTGACATTGGGAATGTTTGTCACCCTATGGAAGTCATCAAGAAATTCAAGACTGCCACAGGTCACTCGGAGGTGTGATTCAGTCCAAGTCTGAGGGCAGGTCATTGCCAAAATGTTTTCAAATTGTCTTACTCTTCTGTTTGGAGAAACAAAATCGTTGCATATCTGTAGTCACAATGTACTCTTTTTTTTTATCCATTGCTTCACACATTTATTCAGCCATTGTTTGTTGAATGCCTATTACTATAACTGTATCTTTTGTGTACATGTACCAGAGATCCAACCCAGGGCACTATACACACAAAGCATATACTCTATCTGAATTACCCCCATCGCCTATATATAGCCCTTGTTCTAATAATCAGTCACTAACAGACCCCTAAAGTGTGGTAATGTTTATGGAGGAAAATTGAACAAGTAAGAACAGAAAACATCTTTGTAAAAGGGGGCACAGCAGACCCTCTGAAAAGTGACAGTAGTTCACATCTCTGAATGGAGAGAGATTGAAGACTGTGAACATATTGGGGGAAGAGATCTTTGTGCAGAGGAGCAAGTCCAAGGGCCTAAGCTAGGGGAGAGACTAAGGAGGCAGGTAGGCAAAGAGACCATGGGGTGGAGCCTATAAGCCTTGTAAGGACCTTGTATTTAAAGAGAGATGAGAATGATATTACCTGCCTTACATTTGAGGATAAGACTTGCCACTGGGTAGAATGAAATGTTTATGGAGAAAGAATGAAGGAAGGAGGGCTGTAAGAGTTTATTGCAATAATCTGTCTATCAAACAGGAGAGAGGGGACTTAGCCACTGCCTCTGGGAGCAATACTCTGTGAAATTTTAAGGAATCTCTGAACTGGAGGCAAAGCAGGGTTCAGGCCTTGTGTCCCTTCGGCAAACAATCGGTGAACCATTATGGACCCCTGGAAGGGTGTGACCATGACAGAGGTAGTTCCCTTTGCTATAAGTCAATTCCTGAGCTGGGACTCAGTAGGAGCCATCAACAAACAGCATTTCTAGTACCTGTGAGTGATCGACACAGAAGTTATCACTTGGCTATCATTAAGTTACCCCTCATGCTATCTGCTCCCGTTTCCTCCCTTCTTCGGCTCATGTGGAACTGCTCTTCCAGGACACTTGGCAGAATCTTTTCTCTGGTGCAAAGGCTAGCTTCATGGTTACAACCAAAACTTGATCTATTTG